AGCTCTGGGTCCCCAGTAAGTGACGGCGTCTCTGACCACCCACACCAGCCGACACGGCGCCACCGGCCTCTCGGACACACACTGACGCACGTGACGTCACCAGTACTGACGCCACAATTGGTGACGTGTATCTCCGTTAGTGACGTCACAGTATCAGTATCAACCCTCATGACGTCACTTGTCAGTGATAGGTACACACATTGTAATTGTGTTTGTTTCTATATCTGGAAGTGATGTCATCAGTTTGAGTTGCACCATGTAACATCACTAGCAAACAGTGTGTAATCTGACGTGTTCCGTTTCCAGAGTCTGTATTCGACAAGCTTACCAAGCCTCCCAAAGGCAGCAAAATCTGCTTGCAGTACTATAACTAGACGACTAGCTTCCCGGTGCCTCGTCCGCTCCGGTGCCGGCGGCAGTGTCGGAACTCGACAACAGATGGCAGCACCGTGTCCCGTCGGCAGCGCTGTTCTGTACACAATACACATCAAGACCTTCATAATATCCAGAAGTACTTTGAGCCGCCCTGTCCCATCGGCTCAGGTCCGTGGGTACTTCTTTACCGCCGTGCCAGGCTGGTTTGGGTTGAGTGGCCACCTAGATGATTGATCATTTGAGCACAGATTGCTACGTTTGTTGACACCGCTTTGATAGACACTAGGTATATTCAGTATCCAAGATGTATCACGCTCCGGGGCCACTGTCCAGCCATCGGTAAACCGTTGTCACCGTGCCGGAGGTACCGCCGTGGTGACGTCACGTGTGTTGTGACGTGACGTCACGCTGGCTCACACCGCTGTGCTGTTGTGTTGTTGTTTCAGTTTAGACCAGAGAGTGGTTGTAGCTAGCTGTGAGGGTGTCCGGTCCAGGCGATATCGGACCTCGCCCGTCACTGTGTCGGACCGTCGGTGGTCCGGTCGGTTGTGGTTCGTTTGGACCGGATATGTCCGGTTCGGTGTCGCTCATGGGATATCACGGGCTGATGGCGATTGAAATACACAGTGGTTGAGACGTTCAATACACAAATTTTACTGAATTTCAAAGCGCTGCTATGCAGTGCCGTTATTTCGTGACGGTAACTAGTCAAAGGGATTGTAAGGCTTCTGACCATTATGCAATGCTTTGAACATATCATTGCATAATGTCATACGAAGTTGTGATGTAAAGAAGTCACCTACTTGAAGTGACGTGGAGCTCTAATGTCGGATGCTTCATAAAAAGTGTGTGCAACTTCACGTTGCCTAATATAATTGTTCCGTGAAAATTAAGCCAAACCCAGAGAGTTATCAGTAAAAGGAAAAATTGCGTAATTTCCAGGAAACGTATCCCTCACGGGACGGGTGGAATCATTTTTTTTACCCTCACCACCAGCCCAGCACTTCAGTTGACTGAACCGTTAGGCTATACTGATTATCACACATGAAGTGTGTCTGTGATGATCAATGTGTTACCCAGCCCGTGCGCTGCTTCACAGCCTACCACTGCAGGCAGCTGATTGCCCGCTGAGAAACGGTGCATCGTTCTGCCGTCAACTGTAAACTGTACAGTGTGTATTAGTTATATTACAGCTGTATGGACACAGCACGGGTACGGATCCGGGACACCATACCATCGACTGGTGGATACAGGACACGGTCTAGTATCCAGCGCCCAGCGGTGCGATATCGCCGGTGGTCGTTATTTCTTTTAGAAGGCTGGATACCGCCAGTGGATACTATTATTTTACTGAAGACTGGATATCGCCGGTGGCCGTTATTTCTTTTAGAAGGCTGGATACCGCCAGTGGACACTATTTCTTTTAGAAGGCTGGATACCGCTAGTCGCCATTATCACTTTTAGAAGGCTGGATGTCGCCAGTGGCCATATCACATAAGGGGAAAGTGTCCAATAGGGCCTTTCGGTTGTTTTCTCAATTAGGTACTCACCTCTAAAACGTGGTGAATAGTGACGTAACGTTTATCACTCAGTTCTAATCAGTACCCTTACCTGAAAACGTTCGTGGTCCGACCATTGACCTTTGAAATTGTCCATTGTTTAACGATAACCCGCGCCGGGCCGGGCCGGGGGTGTTTGAACACCCCCTGCGGTTTTTCGCAGATATCTCAAAAAACGGCGGCGCGGAGCGCCACTGTTTTTGGCACACCTGTTCATGCATCTTTTCCGCACATTTTATAAAAAAAAAATCAGACCCAGGGCTCCAAAGGTCAGGTCACCAGGTCAGGTCAAGTGACCTCACCTCAGAAAAAAAGTTTCAATCCTCGTCATAGCTACAGCGACTGAACGATCGCCTTGAAGCTTTCAGCGATTGATAAGAGTAACAGTATGTACACAATGTTTATCTCGGAATTTCGATATCGGTGACCTAAGGTCAGGTCAATTTTGCGACCTCTCCATCATACTCTGTAACAAATATTCAGTACACTATGGCATGAAAATCAATCAAGCGAATACGTTCATGGCACCAAAATAGCTTTGCAGGACATCCAGCCAGTTCAGATTAACCCGCGCCCCACTGGGGGGGGGGCTATTTATAGCCCCCCCTCCCGTTTTTCTGCAATAACTTCCAAACCGCTTGACGAATCGACGCCAAACTTTCAGTACCTTCGGCTGCATCAATTTGACACCTTATGTCAAAATTTGAACTTCGTAGCTACCATAGGTCGGCCGGAAATGACGTCAGAGTGACGTCATGTTCGTCCGATTTCGACGCAAAACATTGAACCACGGCAATCGCTCCCAAGAGCTCAGTTTTTAAGCTAGATCCAATTTCTTTGCATGAAAGGACTCAGAATTGACCGCGCTATCAAACTGCTATCTCGGATTTTCAAAATTTTGAAAATTTCGAAAATTTTATATAATAATATTCAAAATTTATATTTTTATATTTTTTTCAAAAAGTTTTTGACTTTTCGAAAAAACCGGAATATATGTGACAGAACGCATAATTATGACTAACTCTAGCAAGTTTTAGCTAAATATCTTCAAAAATGGCCAAGTTATACGCATTATTGCAAAAAATAAACAATTATTAATTTTTCAAATCAATTTTTCAGTACGTATTTGGCATCGTACACCAATATAAATGGCACCATCGTGTTCCTGAGCTCAAACTGCATCCAATAGACACCTTTTTTGTTGAAAAATTTCAACTTCAAAATTTGACCTTTTTTGACCTGAAAGTGACCTGACCTAAGCTAATTTCGACTCAAAATGACCTTGGATGACACAGACGACATCAAATTCGAAATCTATGGCCTAAATGGACCATAAAACATGTGTCACGTGACCGACGCATGATATAATATTTTCGTGACCTGTGATGACCTGACCCTGACCTGAAAATCAAAGTACAAGTTTGGTACCCTCAAGGTATCTAGAGCATCTGTTCACGAGTGTGGAAACAAAAAATGAGCCTGATCTGACTTGTAAGACGGCGGCCAGAGCCCAAAATGTGAACAAGCCAAAGTGCTAATAATTTTTACTTTGACCTGACCTGTGACGTCATCGGTGACCTCGAGGTCAATGAAATTAGGTTTCGCTCGACAGTTTTTCCGGGGCTATCAGACGCCGTTTGAATTTTGACGATCGGCCCAGTAGTTTCGGAGTTAGGAGGGGGGGCTATGAATAGCCCCCCCCCCCCAGTAGGGCGTGTTATACACAGACCCCAGTGGGGCGCGGGTTAAGTTTGGACAGTCGATCATTTCTGAAAGCCGCACAGTTAAAAACCCCGGCCTCACTATGGACCGACATCTGACGTTCGGGGATGATGTTAGCCAGCTGGTTGGCAAATGTACCGGTCTTTTGATTTCGCTGTCCCATTCCAAGTATGTCATACCTGCCGGACCGTTGCTTACATTGTGAACGCGCTTGTGGCTAGCTCAATTCGCTACTGAGTACTGCATCTCCATCTACGGGTCCGGCGGTAAAACAGAAATGCACCGCATTCAGAAACTGTTCAATTTCTGAGCTCGTGTTGTGAGCGGCCGGCAGAAATTTTGATCACATTTCTGACGTGTTTCATCAACTCGGGTGGTTACATCATACATGCTGAGCTGCTCGTGAGCTACCTATAGACTTGATTAAAAAGTCGCTCTAGATACTTAATTACCTGCCGACATTGTAGCCATGTTTTCGTATGTCTGTACTCCACAATCCTACTCGCCAGATCGGCCAGCTTCACTGCCAGAGAGCAGACGCCAGACAGACATCCTCCGGCGCCAGGCGGCTATCACACTGCAGTGCAATGTTTAACCAGCTCCCGAGCGAGCTAGGAAATGCCTCACCGGATGTGCCTTCAAACGCCATCTTGAGCAGTTGCTGCTGTACACGTGGTACTGTTGTGGTACTGGGACTGATGGCTGATAAGTGAATGCAAGAAGTGAATGAATGGTACTGTGTCTGTGTTTATCTGTCTTTGCCTCACCGTTGTTTTGCCCTATACCCTGGTTTTACTTTCACTGACGTAGGTAGTCGTAAGGTGACTCGGGTGCGGAAGAGCCACTGCATTGTGGATGTAGTATGTACCTTTAAATATTCTTTGAACTTTGGGAAGCGAATCGCACGACTGGTAAAATTTAAAAGGTAAAAATCAAATGTTAAAGGCCTAAAATTCAACGCCACAGACTGACAGACTGCTGGAAACCTGCTGTCATCTATCGGCGGTTGTCGGAACTAGAGATGTCAATCGGATACCAACTTTTTGGTATACCGATACCAAACCGATACCAACTTGGTATTTGGTATTTCAATGCTAAGGCTTTCGGTATTTTGTTGGTATTATGAATCCTGACTAATGTAAAAGAGGCAGCTAATTTGGTAAAAAGTTGGTATTTTTTCTCATTTTCCAAAGTCGGTTGGGTTTCGGTATTTTCTCATGGTTTTTGTTGGTATTTGGTTTGGTATCGGTATCACGATTTTCCGTAATTGACATCACTAGTCGGAACCATATACGGCAGACTGAGCCCAGGACCTCCTGCCACCTATCGGCGATTGTCGGAACCAGAGGCGGCTGACGGTCGAGCGACGGCCTTGGGGCTGCCAGTGGCTGAGCTGGAAGTGTGGCGTAGTAGGTGAGAGTACAGAAAGTGGAGACGGAGAAATACGGACGGCGAAGACGGCGGTACGGACAGAGGAGACGAGGTGAGGTCAGAGAGAGGGGGGTCGGGCCTAACCCAACAAAACAAAAAAGAGAGGGGGGTCAGAGGAGGGGTGACACAGACGGTCACACATCTCTGTGGGGATGAGAGGGGGGGGGGGGCTGGCTAAACAGTGTGGTCTTTGTGTGGCCTGTGGGTATTTTCCAGGGGCTAGTCCTCAGCGGCACGGTACCGTGTTGAAGGTATGGCCGAGTGCTGAGCTCCAACAGTTGAACAAGCGTAGATTTTGTTCTTTTCCATGCCCTTAATCTAAATAACTATGTTTATCAGCGCACCCAACATTGCAATTGAGGTAATCCGCTGGGGTGAGTGAGGTCACGTGACACATCCCCATCAGTCTGACGTAATCTGCAGGATAGCTTTCTGCCAGTGGTAGCTATTCAGTGTTAGGTAGTTGTAGGGGTATATCAATATAGGACCTTGGGTGCAGGGTGAAGTGTTGTTGGGTTAGGTAAAAATTAGTCAGGCATGGCTAGTTTTGGCCGGGCTAGGTCAAGCTTAGATCAGGAGGCCTGAGTCCTGGCCTGGATGGATTATCCTGACGTTTACAACTCTAATGAGCATCATTTCAATATTCAGGACATGTAAAAATGTGATATGGACAGCAGCACACTATATCTAAAAAACAACGGGCCCTCAGCTTCAGTTTTCCTGAACGGAGAAGTCCCCCTGGCGCGGTTCCAGTTCGCCCCGCTGCGCGTGGGAGAGGGGACCGTTGGGCGCGACTGGCTGGCGGTTGCCATGGAGACGTCTCAGCTACCAGGATGAGGAGCTCGTCTGAGGAGTTTGGTCTGGTCACGGCCCTATATACCGGTCAGGTCAGATTCGACGACGTATTTCCTATGTGACTTTTATCTTATTACGTTTTATAGAATCGTTATAGTTATTGACGGGGTGTTATTCCTATGTGACTTTTATCTTAATTATTACGTTCTATAGAATCGTTTAAGTTATTGTCAGGATGTTAGAAAATAGCGTTGAATAGCTATAATGTCTCTTGCTGACCCCTGGTTACCTAATAGCAGACCTTATGTCAGGAACGGATAGATTATAACTTTAAGAGATGTCAATCGGATGATGATACCAACGTGTTTGGTATAATGAAACCAAACCATTGTCATCCCGGTTTGGTATCGGCTTTCCAATGATTTGGGATGAACATCACTGGGCAGTCTAGGGTGACACTTATTTGTAGGGGGAAATCCCAAAATTAATATTTCAACGCGCGAAAGCCTGAACATGGTGTGAAACCATGAGAAAACACCTCCTGCGAAGTTTCAGGTCAATCGGGCACATTTAAGAGGTGCCCCAAAGCCAATATGGCGTCTGATGCCCTCTTCTGCTTCCTCCCCCCAACACGTCGCATAGCTCGAGCCTCGGCGGTGACCCCGCAGATTGCAGCTGCGCTCGATCGAACAAGAACATCTAACCGGAGTGCTGTCCACATCCTCCACGCTGCTGCTGAGGCGTACAACCCAATCCCCCAGAACTTTGTAGTCAACCGGGAGTCGATCCAACGACACCGGAGGCGCGTCAGGGAGGATGTGGCAAAGGACATCCGGAAGACGTTTGTTCCGGGCGTACCCCTCGTCGTCCATTGGGACGGAAAGATCGTCGACGATATCACCAGCACAAAGGCATCTGAGCGCCTTCCCATCCTCGTTTCTGGGGATGGCGTTAACAAGCTCCTGGGAGTCCCACGCTTGCCCAGCGGGAAGGGTGACGATGTTGCCACCGCGGTTGTCAGCTGCCAGGAGGATCGGGGCGTCGCCGAACGCGTTGTGGGAATGTCTTTCGACACTATCGCTTCTAACACCGGCGTGCACGGCGGAGCCTGTACTTGCGTCCAACAGCGACTCGGGCGGAATCTCCTCCACCTGGCCTGCCGGCACCATATTCTTGAGATCGTGGCCGACAAAACGTTCGGCGCCTGTCTCGCACCGTCGTCTGGGCCCGATATCCAACTATTTAAACGCTTCAAAGCCGAATGGGAATCCATCGACCAGACAATGTTCGAGCCAATCGAGCCGATCCCGTCCACCAGTGACGAAGTCATTATGTTCTGCAAGGAGAAACTTCAAAGTACGCAGCTGTTTAGCACTCTCGTGACTGCACTCTTCGTATTGAAACAGTCGCTTGACTTGATTTGTCTATTTACAACCGAATTATAATCAGACACGTTAAATACGAGTGTACGGCACGGGGCTATCGCATTGAAGACCGGAAACCTGCGATCCTAGGGGTGATTACACACTGGCCGGGCCGAATGACTAATAATTAAACAGAGTTGTACCACTTCTTGGAGGTAAGCTATGGTATTTCTGAGCATGATTAATAATGTAAATAGAGTGAATAACCTTATGCTCATGTTATATGTTGCAAATTGATATAATTAAAACTGATTCTTATTCTGATGACGGTGCAATATCGAAATATATCAATTTAGTTTTAATTATATCAATTTGCAACATATAACATGAGCTATAAGGTTATTCACTCTATTTACAGAGTTGTACCAAACGTTACAATAATTACTCATATTTTACTACCATACTTTTGGGCTTTTATCTGTTACATAATAATTACATTGGTTTCTACTAATTTAATCTAAATTCTATTTCGCTACTAAGTTGAGGCTACTAATATATAACAGCAGCATCGGGATGACTATCGAAAACTCCTCAACTTGACGATCGTTGTCTTGGGTGGCGTTCCCCCTGGAGGAATCAGGATGTCCAAGCCCGGAGCCTACCACCGCGCTCGCTGGATGCGCAAACTGATATACGCATTGAAGATCTTCTTATTCCGCGGACAGTTCAAGCTCACCAAGGCGGTGGAGAAGAACTTGGCCCGCTTCGTCCTCTTCGTCGCGACGCTGTATGTACCGGCGTGGTACGAAGCCCCGCTGGCAGCCCGTGCTCCGGCCCAGGACCTAGCTTTCTACCGCTCACTCTTATCCCCTTGCGAGGAAATCGCAAGGGAAGCATCGAAGGCGTTTGGGCGTTATCTCTGGTACATCTCCGAGGAGCTGGTGTCGCTCGCTGTTCGACGTGAGGACCACGTTGGAGGAGAAGAGGCTGATCGTGGCTGCCTTTGGCCGCGACGGCGCAGAAGATCCGCCCAAGCGGATTTCACTGGAGCCTGACCTGACTGTACTGACGAGGAAGACGCTGCCTCGCTTCGTCAAGCTCCTAGTTTCTCGTGGACGCCCTTGGCCCGTCGGAATTCCTTGAGGTGGACCCGGCCGAGTGGCCGGAACGCCAGGACTACCAGCTCGCCCGCCGCCGAGCCGAGTCCCTCAAGGTTGTCGACGATTTTGCCGAACGGGGCGTGGCTCTGATTCAGAGCTACTGCGCCATCCTCACGAACGATGAGGAACAAAGACAGTTCCTTCTTCAGGTCGTCGAGGAACATCGATGTCGTTTCCCCGACGTCCGCAAGTCAACACTACAGATGTCGATGTAGATGAGTACCTGTGATTGGGATTTTGGTTCCTATGAGATCCCCCAGCGATTCGTTTAAAGCCAAATTGCACGTGTACTTTATCAAAAATTGAATTAAAAATGCGCTATCTATTTTTGGTGTACGTTTTAAAAAATGGCTTTGGGGCACCTCTTAAATATGTTCGATCGATATGAAAATTCACAGGAGGTATTTTCTTATGGTTTCAGACCATACCCAGGCCTTCGCTCCTGAAAAATCAAAAGTTCAAAAATAAGTGTCACCCTACTGGGCACTGATGGATGAGCACCACTGATAAGTAATCCGCAGCGAAGGAGGGCTGTGCCTCACCACGGCCTGTATACTGGGAAACGCGTCCATTTGGACCACGGCTCGGAGATCTGACCGGTACGGCGGGCCGTGCCTACCTCCCCCTCTCTCTCTCTCTCCCGCTCCTTCCCTCTCTCCCTGGCTCCAGTTGCTCTGTACCGGTGTTTCTGCTGACTGAACACACAGACACGGAGCTGATCCACGGCCGAGTCAGCCGACGGAGACATGACACCGAGCGTCGGGTGACCGGTGCTCGGTATCGGGGGTAGACAGGGGTCAGGGGGTCAGCGGGGGTGGAGGGGAGGGGAGGGGGAGGTTGTGGAGGGAAGTGATCGGCGAGGGAGTCCGTGAACACCCTCTGCTCAGTTCACGGCGGGTGGGGAAAAACAGACATGAAACTTCGTACGAACCAACTGTGGATGAAACTTCGTACGAACCAGCTGTGGCTCACGCACCACGCCTACACCAGCCTCTGACGTATAAAAGTAGCTCTGTAAAAGCCCCGTCAGGAGTCGTATCTCCCCCCATCCACTCGTTATGAGAGGGCCGGGGGACTGGCCAGATCAGGGCTGAGGAAAGGGGTTATTCTATACGTACCGCATCATAGTGTCTCGAAAACTTCGTTACTTTACCCGCGAGCTGCTGGATGAGCTAAACCCCCACTTTTTTCGCCGCGCTTAAAAAAAACGGCCGCGTCGCAGGAGTGCCAAATTCTGGTTGCATGTAGGGAATAAATTGAAGTTCATTGCGATGAAATTTCAAACAAATTGGTGGGGAAAATTAAGATTGAGGTTATAGTGACGTCATGACTCCTGGGTTTCCGACCAACAACGGTATGTGTTAACCCTCGCCCGTATTGGTGTTTTTCCAGCCGCGAACGTATAAGGGGGAGGGGGGGTCCGTTGGACCCCCCCCTTGCCGTTTCGCCCCTGATCGAGCTAGAGCTTCGCGGAAAAAAAACGAGCGTGTTGCCCGTGACGAGAGGAAGCCGATGATACCTAATTTTATGGTCCTCGGTCATTGGCTGACCTTGCAGGTCAGGTCAATGACCTAAAAGTCGGGAAAATCGGGACCTGTTAGAACGTCGTAAAGTGTGGCTGCTACGGGGTTTTTCGGGGTGCTGATCACGAATATCACGTTCGTTTTGATCACAGATGATGTCTTCATGCATTTAGTCCAGGTCGGGTCAGGTCAGGTCAGGTCAAGCAGTAGGGGTCCTGCCGGGTATTCCTAGTAGGTGTCAACCGCCTCTGACAGCTTCGTAACATGTTACGAAGGCACCAAAACCACTTCGTAAATGTTCAAATGGTTGCTAAATTCGAATTCAGCTGCAAAAACTGGCCTAGAAACATGTAAAACTCGAAAAAGTGAACCGAGGTCATCAAAGGTCAATGACCTGACCTGACCTTCAGGTGACCTTGACACCCACCCTAACGCATGGGGGCAACATCATATCACATGTTTGAACGCTTGAAACCACGAAAAGACTGCAAACGCGCGGCTAATGCGAGCCGACATACGCCGAATCGCGATTCCGGCCAAACATGGTCTCGAAAAGTAGGTCACAGGTCAAAGGTCATTGGGGTCAGGGTCATGAAATTTTCAGAGTAGGTGTAAAATTGATTAACGCGAGGGTACTGAAAGTTTCGTCGCGATCGGCCGCTTTTTACGCGAGTTATTCGCGAAAAACCATGGGGGGGGGGTCCGTTCGCCCCCCCCCCCTATACGGGCGAGGGTTAAAAAATCATAAACTCACAGAATAGCCATAGACACATGCCGTTACGACCATTAGCCTGTTTAAGGTGAAACCGTTCTCTCAGTCTTATACCGTACGTTTTCTGTTTTAGAAATGGAGACTGGACAGCTCCAAGAGAAGTTTATCCAGATGAAAGAAGAGATGGCACTTCTGAAGGAGGAAATGACACATCGTAATCAAGAGGACATGGTCCGTTTGAATGGGGAACTGACCACTCTGAAGAAAAACTGCGACTCACTGAGTGAACAGGTGGTCGGACTGGAGGGAGAAGTGGCCACACTGAAGAAGGACAACGCCACACTGAAGGGAGAAGTGGCCACACTGAAGAAGGGGGTGACTACACTGAAGGGGGGCAACGCCACACTGAAGGGAGAAGTGACCACACTGAAGGGAGACAAGGCCACACTGAAGGGAGACAACGCTACACTGAAGAGAGACAACACCACACTGAAGGGAGACAACGCCACACTGAAGGGAGACAACGCCACACTGCGTCAGGAGGTGGTCCATCTACGTGAAGAGGTGGTCCGCCTGCGGCAGGCTGTCCTCGAGGAGCGCACCACTCGCCAGGTCGTCGTGGAGGAGCTGCGGCAGGAGGTCCGCCGGCGAGCGGCGCCATCCGACCGTTCGCAGGGGTGAGACTGAGAGGCAGCAGGGGTGGCACTGGGGGTTGGTCGATGAGATGACACTAGGGGCAAATACCTAGTAACAGGAGGTCGGCTTTGGTTGCAGGATATGACGCTGGGCGTAGACAGTTGGTCTGTAAAACTCAAACCAGCTGTACGGATAGTCGGTCAGTAAGACTTAACCGGTTGTGAAGACAACTTTCTGTAAGAGTGACTGTTGTGTGATCAGTTTGTCAGTAATAGTAGGTATACCTTATTTTGTGGATAGTTTGTCTCGTCTGTGAGGCTGTGAGGCAGCAAGGATGGCACTGCAGGTTGGAAATGGGGGATGAACACTGCATGGGCTCACGTGGATTGATGGTACGGGGCTGTCTCGGAAGAGAAGACGTCTGGAAATTATATCCCAATGACTGACCTCTGATGACGTCATTTCGCCACAGTGACGACGAAGAGCCTCGCGAACTGACTTCACTGAAGGACAACAATTGTGACAAGTGTGACGTCACAACCCAAACTGCGGGGGAAGCGCTGCCGGTAGGCGGTAGCTTGAGGCCGCCCGCGCCTCGCGAGGCCAACATCTACCACCTGGACACCGAGCTGCTGAAGATGGTGATGAGCAAGATGGACTGCAGGGACATGTTCCGCGCCAGGCGGGGTGAGTGTCCTGGCGACTGGCGAGGTCGTGTTGCGCAATAACTATTATCCGAGTCGATGTGGTGTGTTTCCTTAGCCAACTGAGAGTTCAGCAAGTTGGGAAAGTCTGGGTGGATATATAAACTCCAATGAATGGCTTGTAGCTATGTGAATTCCGGTTGCCATTATATGGAATATCGATGTTATATTTTATAGAATTTCTAACGCTGCCTGTATTTGAACTTTGACTTTGATGTTTGTCGCTCGCTGACATGCCGCCCGATCCCCCTGTTCCTTCGGTGCCGACAGTCTGCCGTCGGTGGCGGTCCGCTGTCGACGATATCGTCGGCGACTGTCGGCGGGAGCTAACCGATCAGAAAACCCGCGGTGGAGAGGTGTCTACGCCGGCCACGGGCCTAGAGCTAGTAGTGAAGGTGCAGGACCAGCCGAAGATGACCGAATTGCGGGCGCCGACCGCTGAGACGGACACCGACCTCCGACTGGTCGGTGAGTCCTGTGTGAAACGCGCTACACGAACTGGTACGCTTTGTCCCGCTGTAACTGTCATCCCTTGTGTATATGTTGCAGGCACTTTAGAAAATCAGGCATTTTGCAAAATGCCTAGGCATTTTACAAAATGACTGATTTTCTAAAGTGCCTGCAACATATACAGGGTGTCCCAGAATTACCCGGACATTGTTAATTAGCGTATAAAATAAGGCAAACATGTTTGCGCTTTTTTCTTTTTATCGTCCTATATAGTCAACTAGGGTGGCTGTGAAATAGCACATGCAATAGATACGCTTGTTACAAGATCAGCCGACAATGATTGAAAATGCCAGCCATTGCTGGTCTCAGTTGTTTTACGGCTCTCCCGAAACTGGGTGAAGGCCTGTTTTCTTTGACCTGTTGCCGGAGGATATTACGATCATATAAGATAAACTTAACATCAAAGTGTTCCCAGGTCATAAGGTATTATCATAGTGTAATAAATAACAAGTGAAGACACTTCGATTATTTTGTGTAATGCGTTTTCTTCTGCCGGAAGTGCTCTCTCAGAAAATCAACGATATCTGATGACGATTGATGCCGTTTTCGTCATTGTAGTGCAAAAGTTTCATCCCTGTAGTGAAAACTTCGACCCAAGAAACTACTATCCAAGCTTGTAGTTATATAAGTGTTGGTTTTAACAGCTAATTCACCCTTATTTTCTACAAAACACAGAAAATAAATCCCTCTACACGCAACTTGAAATGAAATATCACTTAAACATAATGAGGAGACTAAAAACCTATTTTTACTACACATCTTTACACGCTAAGACAGTGGCGGCGGAATAGGGGGTGCAGGGGGTGCAGCTGCACCCCCATCGAAAAACATGGGGTGCAAACATATCTTTTTGCACCCCCAAAATTCGTACAAGGGGCCCGTCGCACCATCCAATACATTTTCTCCTGAAAACCAGTGATCGGGAAACGAACACTGATGTGGAATCATCAGGGATGTCCAATTATGGTCAGGAGCGCCCCATAGTAGTCTTTGGGGCCCCCATACCGGCTAGAAGTGTCACGAGTCGCGTTTGGTGCTCCACGCGGCATCTGAGGGCCCCCACGACGGCCTCAGAGGGCCCTTTTATGACGATCTCTGAGGGCTCCCACGACGACCTTTGTCCCCTGGGGCCCTACAATGGCCACTAAGGGCCCTCATGACGACCGCTGAGGGTCCCACAGAGACTCCAGGGCCCCAAGGAGACTCCAGGGGCCACGCTGGCCTCTGAGGGCCCCTATGACGGCCTCTGAGGGCCCTTACGATGATCTCTGAGGGCTCTCACGACGAACTCTGTCCCCTGGGGCCCTATAACGACCACTAAGGGCCCTCATGACGACCGCTGAGGGTCCCACAGGACTCCAGGACCCCCACTGGCCTCTGAGGGCCTCTACAGCGGTCTCTGAGGGCCCCCGTGACGGCCCTAGACCCAGCTCAAGTCTGAGGGCCCATTTGGCTTCAGACGGTCCAGCGACGGCCTCTGAGGGCCCCAACACAACCAGGCTGCAGGGGCTATGCTGGCATCTGAGGGCCCTGCAACGGTCTATTGAGGGCCCTAACAACGATGGCCTCTAGCGGTCTTACCAATGCCTTTGAGAGCCGTGCAAAGGTATCTGAGGGCCCATAAAGATCCTCAATATGGCCAAGGACCCTCATGACGACCTCTGATGATCCTCTCGAGGGCTTCTAAGGGCCCTCACAACAACTTCTGAGGACCCCAGGACGGTCCCTGAGGGGCTGAGGGCCCTGACGACGACCTCTCTGGACCCCCACGATGGTCTCTAAGACCCAACGCAAGCTTCAAAGGCCCACACTGGCGTCTGATGGCCCCACGACGGCCTCTGAGGGCCTCGACGCAGGCAGGCTCCAGGGGCCATGCTGACCTCTGAGGGCCCTCTTGACGGCTTCTAGGGCCTAACGAAGGCTTCAAGGGCCAACGCTGGCCTCTGAAGAACCCTACGACGGCCTCGGAGGGTCTCAACTCAACGCAGGCAGGTGCCAGGAGACATGCTTGCCTCTGAGGGCCCCGCAGAGTTCAGATTCAGAGGACCCAACGACCTTTGTGAACCTTACGAAATACGAAGGTCTCCGAGAGCTCACGCAGGCTCCTGGAGTTCCACACTGATTCTCAGGTCCCATGTCGGCTTGTTGAGGCACTTTATCTGCTCTTGGTGCCCCGTCGCCGGCCTCTGAGAGTCTCAATGTCGGAACTTATGGGGCCATGCGCCCTACACCGGCTTTTATGGCCCCTATATCGACTCTGGGGACTCATGACCCATGAAATGTGGGTCTAAGCGGCTTCTAAGAATCCCCATGCTGGTTCTAGAAGCCGCCAGCCGAATATTAGGGCTCACACGCGAGCTCCTGGGACCCCGTGCATACCCCAGGGGTCTACCTGCCTCTAAGACCCCACACATACTTTTGGGGCTCAAAGGCTTGCCCCTGAAGGCCCCACTGAGACCCCTTTCCTCTCTTCAGTCCTCCATACCGGCTCTTTAGGCTAAACATCGGCTCCTGTGGCCTCCATCCGGCTTTGGAGGGCCTCCATACAAGCTTTTGGGGTCCGATGCCGGTTTCTGAGAGCCCTCAAAAGACTTTTGAGCCTATACTGCCTTCTGAAACCTTTCAGCAACTTTCAAGGGACCGACCCTGATCGGAGGGCTCATTCAGTCTGGGGAGTCATATAGGTCTCTGGGGAGTCTCTATGTGGTTGGTTTCCAAGGGGCTTCTGACAGTCTTCTTGGAACAGTCTCGTAGGGCTCTCAGTGATCCACTGCGGTTCCAGAAAAGTGGTTTGAGACGCTGCGGGTGGTGGCTAGACTAAACGATTAGCCCATAAAAAACTAGCTGCATTTGCTTGTTTATGCTTTCATTATTTGAGATAGGTAGGTACTCTGCAATTTCAAACCTTTTACAGAACTTGTGTGTATGGGGATAGTTTTCCAAAATCTTCGTTTTTCATAAATTTAATAATAATCACTAAAAAACTGAAGGGGGGCCCAAAACTTCCAGAGGGGCCCCTTGAGAAAACTTTGCACCCCCATCCAAAATTACCTTCCGCCGCCACTGCGCTAAGAATGCCTTCTTTATGCCAGAATGGGTATAGCGTATGAACACAGGGACAGGCCCCACAGCTCGCAATACCAAGAATTCATGTTCTCTTATCAGGCATATCGTTCGGAAGCTGTGTAAATGCCGACGCAATGTTAAAGTGGGCCAAACAGCTATTCATCAACTGGGCATTTCACCGGGATGAAACGCATCGATGTCCCCTGATTTTGCATATTATAATGCATTCAATAGGAACAATGAACATGCGATGACTCTCATTCATTTCGCGCAATAAAAAGCATAGGTTCTCAAGTCAAAGTGAAGGAAAAGACCGATCAAAATGACTCGTATAATACAGACTTTGTTTAAATACTCTACACTTTTAGGGGCTGGTACTGTTATGGTGTCCTCTATTTTTGAATATTTTCATACCGGTTCTGTCAAATTGCATTCAGTAAGCGACCATACATGCAATAAAAACAGTGGGTTCTCGAGAGTAACGTTACGGAATAGAGTGAATGCTGATACGATGTTCAGCATGTTGGAGCGCAGTTAGATCGAAGAGCACTTTCATCGGGCTGTGGCACATCGATGTCCTCTGATTTTGAATATTTTCACGCATTTTATAAGAAAATGCGATTATTTTCTTTCATTAAATGCAATAAAAAACATGGGTTCTCGAGTCTATATCAATCAAAGGACCGATCAAAATGGGTTATATTTTAGAGACGTTATCAAAATACCCTACACTTTCTAGGAGCCGGTGGTGTTATGATGTCCTCTGTTTTTGAATATTTTCATACCGGTTCTGTCAAATTGCATTCAGTAAGCGACCATACATGCAATAAAAACAGTGGGTTCTCGAGAGTAACGTTACGGAATAAAGTGAATGCTGATACGATGTTCAACATGTTGGAGCGCAGTTAGATCGAGTAGGACTTTCATCGGGCTGTGGCACTTCGATGTCCTCTGATTTTGAATATTTTCACGCATTTTATAAGAAAATGCGATTATTTTCTTTCATTAAATGCAATAAAAAACATGGGTTCTCGAGTCTATGTCAATCAAAGGACCGATCAAAATGGGTTATGTTTTAGAGACGTTGTCAAAATACCCTACACTTTTTAGGAGCCGGTGGTGTTATGATGTCCTCTGTTTTTGAATATTTTCATGCCGGTTCTGTCAAATTGCATTCAGTAAGCGACCATACATGCAATAAAAACAGTGGGTTCTCGAGAGTAACGTTACGGAATAGAGTGAATGCTGATACGATGTTCAACATGTTGGAGCGCAGTTAGATCGAGTAGGACTTTCATCGGGCTGTGGCACTTCGATGTCCTCTGATTTTGAATATTTTCACGCATTTTATAAGAAAATGCGATTATTTTCTTTCATTAAATGCAATAAAAAACATGGGTTCTCGAGTCTATGTCAATCAAAGGACCGATCAAAATGGGTTATGTTTTAGAGACGTTGTCAAAATACCCTACACTTTTTAGGAGCCGGTGGTGTTATGATGTCCTCTGTTTTTGAAAATTTTCATACCGGTTCTGTCACAATGCATTCAGTAAGCGACCATACATGCAATAAAAACAGTGGGTTCTCGAGAGTAACGTTACGGAATAAGAGTGAATGCTGATACGATGTTCAGCATGTTAGAGCGCAGTTAGATCGAGTAGGACTTTCATCGGGCTGTGGCACATCGATGTCCTCTGATTTTGTGTGTACCAAGGCATTCTGTAAGAGACTGGGATTATTTACCTTCATTTAGTGGAATAAAAAACGTGGGTTTTCATGTCTAAGTCAATTAAAAAATCCATCATGACGGAGCATGGAAGACGATGATATAGGCTGAGGATAACGTTCAATGATTTAGGGAGTGACGTTTTATGACGTTTTATTACGTCATACTGCAGCGTGAGTAGCTACATAGCCCACTCCCAGCTGAAGAAAAGTTGTTACATGAGTTTGCATTATACATTGGTGAAGTGTCTTCACTTGTTATTTATTACACTATGGTATTATCCCCCAAAACAAAAATTGCTGCCTACACCACTTTTGCCGCGTTTTTTTACATCTGAAGTGGAGAAGCTCCATGTCTGAACATGGCGGGACCTTTGGCTTCCAACAGATTTGGTTTCCAAAACAAAGCCGTTCATGGCCATTTGGTTTACGGCATCCAGTTTTTTTTTTTTTTTTACTGGTAGAATATTACCGCAGTAGTACTCTGTGCTAACGGTTGTCTTTGGGCCATCATATCAAGCCGAATGAGTGCACGGTGGCTCAAAATGTCCCACAATTTGATTTTCGATGGGTGCCTGGCCGTCTCTGCTGTTGGGGCGTTGTAGCCATCTGACGTTCACACACGCCTTTTTCGGGCGGTTCAAATGACAGAATACCTTCGTTAGACCACAAAGTGTGCTTCAATATAATTTTTGTTGTATATGTTATATTTTTGGGATGAATTGTAGTGATTTTCCCTGCTTTTCCCGTAGTTTTCGCATATTTTTCAGGCGAGGGACCCCAAATTCCAAAATTTTGCGAAGATAGTGGTGGAAAGTAGACTGATGTTCTTTAGATAATCCTGATCTATCGTTTAGCTAGTTTTTAGCTAGATCAGTGACGTTTGTTGTCCATGACAAGCAACCACCCGTTTGACAACTGGTGCATGGCCCTTTTTGGCCGAGCCCAAGCTTGTCAATCAGGTTTATCTCTTGCTCTCTCTGGCTTCGTTAGCTGATATAATTGCGCTTTGCTCAATTCTAACTGCTTGCAGATGAGCTGCTGAAGCTCTCCAGCAAAAACCATGCCGGAAGTCCGTTTATAAAGTTGAAAACGGGAGTTGATTCACCGTGGTTGCCTATTAGTGACTTAAGCCGAAAACGGAAAAGGACTACTCTTACTTGACTCTGGATAATACTTGACTCGAGTCGTTACCGGTCACCAAAAGCACACAGTCCCCAAACTCGATAGCTAAGGGATATCTTATAAAAGTATGATGCTTGTATATCATTAGAATCGAGCGCAATCGTACTTTTAGCCAGAAAATAAATGTCCGGGTAATTCTGGGACACCCTGTATAAGTGATCACTGACTTCACTTACTGGTGACTTCACTGACTTCACTGACTTCACTGACTTCACTGACTTCACTGACTTCACTGATCACTTCACTGACTGGTGTTGCTTTACTCCAGCAGCCACCTGCCACGCCCTGGAGAAGGCCAACCTTCGCGGCTTCAAGCTGCGGGTCTCTGCCCTGCGCCGGCTGGCGCGTGCCAACGGCTCCAGTCTGCGTGAGCTGACGCTGCCGGCCGGTATCAACGACTGGCAGCTGGAGGCGCTGCTGGAGCCGCTGAAGGCTCTGGAGCGGCTCGATGTGAGCCCACCTGTGGAAAGCTCCGGCAAGTGGCTGCGGCTGCTGCCCAAGTCGCTGAAGACACTGGACATCACTGGTGAGAAGGGTCGATAGGGTGCTGGTGGAGTGAGTTTCTAGCACTGTCGCGTCGACACGTAGTTGCGGCACTGGATCTTGAGAATGGCGTAGTCGAAAAAGGAAAAGTATTAACTCCCCCGGAATTGTTGCATGTTTTGTGTGGTGAGATAAAGAACATTGTAAAGAAGGGAAGGGCGAATTTGTTCGGTTACACTTTTTTGCTTATTAGCACATAAGCCGGCCGAGGTCTGATAGGTAATTAAGTCTGAGGTTGGAATCATTGACACAATGCGCGCTAGTGGTGTCAATTTCAGAAAACGTATGTTAAATGTCCGTCCAATGTCCAATACTTACGTCGACTGTCCGTCCAAAAATGTCCAAGCCAGCCATTTGTCCAAAGATGCCCGACATCTACGCAATAGTTAACACTCAACACTGTTACTTAACCCGGCAGTTGCTGGGGTATTTCGCCACCCACCGTTTGCTGGGGGGGGGGGGGGCGTTAAACGCCCCCAGCCGATAACTCGAGAACAAATAGGCGCAGCGAAACGCACGAGGCGGCAAACGAAAGAGCGCGACGAGACGCTTCAGATGAGTACTTTAAAGTTGAATTTTGAGGTCACAGGTCGGGTCAAGGTCAGGTCAAACACCTGAAATCGGGCTTTCAGTAGCATGGACTTCAGGGCTTCGCAATGGGCGCCTCTCGTCATAAACGTTGTCAAAACGGTGCACAATCCATCATATAAGGCCTACAAGAGTGTCAGCTCCATGTAGGGGTCAGTCAAGCATAGGTCAGGGTCAAGGTCAGGTCAACCGGGTAGGCACATATCCCCGAAAATCAAAACTGATATTCGCAGCCTGCGACACATGTTTTATGGGTAATTTCAGGCGTAGAACCCGATGGTGACATTCATTTTATCGTATGTGTACGTGTTTGGCTCAAAAAGTTCAATTTAAGAAATGTATGTATCATGGTCGTGAAGTAGTCGCGAGAAATTGCCAAGATTCAATTCAAGATTTTGGAAAATGCAGAACGATAATCAATAATCGAAGATGGCCATTTGATTGTCCATGGTATTGGCAGTCTAATGGCGTTTACGGCATGTCTGTATGTCTATTCTGTGATTTTATATGATTTTTTGAACATATGCCGTTTTTGGTCGAAAACTCAGAAATCATGACGTCACTAAAACCTCGATATCTGAAAAATTTTCCGTTTGATTTTTTTGAAACTTTGTCACAATAAACTTCAATCAATTCCCTACAGGTACCTAAATTTTGGCGCGCCTGCGGCGCGCCGTTTTTTGGCTATGGCCCGGCGAAAAAAGTGGGGGCGTTTAAGGCCCCCCCAGCAACTCGCGGGTTAATTCGCTTTTAATATATCGTTACCAGCTCAAAAGTGTTAACCCGGCAGGCGGTGGGCCTACCAGCCACCTTCCGCGCGGTGGGGGGGGGGGCACTTTTTTGCCCCCCCCCCCGTATCTCCGAAACTACTGGACGGATCCAGAAAATTCAAACGGCGTTCGATAGCCCTGTCAAATTTGTAGAGGGAAACCAAATTTCATTGACCTCGGGGTCACCGATGACGTCACAGGTCAGGTCAAAGATAAAATGTTTCACCGTTCACGGGGCTTCTAGGGAAAGCGCTATAACACCGAGTAAAACGCATTTTGTCGAAAATCAGCGATAAGGCGTCAGTTGCCTAGTACATATAATGCTATTAGAGGTCACTGGTCATACCAGGTCAGGTCACAGGTCAGGTCACCAAAGGTCACCAAGGGTCACCACATGAGCCCAACTTTACTAAGGTTATGCGATGCATGTTTTATGGCCAGTTTTTCATTTCCAACTCAATGGTGTTGGTTATAAGACCATCAGGTACGGTTTAGGTCACTTTCTGGTGGAGGTCAGGTCAAGGTCAGGTCAAAAAAGGTCAAATTTCAAAGTTGATATTTTTGCATAAAATGGGTATCGATTCGATGTAGCTCGTCACGGGGAGTCTAATTGTGGTCTTTGTTGTGCGCTACAACGTCTAGAATTGCTAAAAATTGAGTTTGAAAATTTGACGTCATCAATTTTGAACAGTTTTTTTTTCGCTATAACTTGACCAAAAAAAGAGGTTTCGATCTCAAATTTGGTATGTAGATAGAAGGCGGTAGGGGCTATCACATATAATCCGTTTTTTTTCGAAATTCAAAAAAAAGGATTTTTTGGCTCTTATATTCAAAAAATATATTTTTTGATTTTTGGGGGTCGAAATCCAACAAATTCGAAAAACCGAAATAGCAGTTTTGTAGCCCTTTTAATTTCACACCTTTTATGTCTCAAACATTTTTCTGTATCTCTAAAGCTGTAGGCCTGACAGCTCTTCCCGCGAAACCTTTTTTTGGGTCGAAAATGACAAAAATGACGTCACTCTGACGTCATTAGCGGCCAACCTATCATAGCCTTTGGAAAAATATTTGGTCACCATGTGCGCTAGCTGCTCCCGGGAGGGCACTGAAAGTTTGGTGACGATCGGCGCAGCGGTTCTCGAGATATATCGAAAAAAAACTAAAGGGGGGGCAAAAAAATGCCCCCCCCCACCGCCTGGAAGGTCATATGGAAAACTGGGCTTTCTAATGGCCAATCAATGTTAAACACGACTACTTTATAAAAAAAAAACTTGAGGTGTAGCAAGCGATTGTCCAAAGTTGTCCAAAGCCCGCTGTCATTGTCCAACCAAATTCCGAATTGGACATTGGACAATATCGGAATTCCGAAGATTCAAGTTCCGATTGACACCACTAATTGACATTCCATTGACGTTCCGATTGACATACCATCAGCATATTATTATTATTATTATTATTTCATTTATTTTCACCAACCACAGAAACGTGGGCGTTACGGTGCAAATAGGCACGAGGTAGGTACAGTCACCAGCAGTTGCTACCCATCACCCCCGGACGGCGGGGGAGCAAGCTACCACCGCCCCTGCGAGACTAGCGCCGTCATGCGCCAAGAAGTGGAAACACCACGTGACTGAGGCCACGTGAGGGCAGGGTCACTTGATGGAGGGGCGGAGCATAGTAGCTTTTGCACCCGACACTAACTGAAATGCGGCGCTGTGATTGGGCGCCTTAGCATGAATGAAGCCCCGGCGCCAGAATCAGCCGTTCGCCTTATATGGAAAGTGAGCCTTTGCGTTTCACTGTTCTGTATTGGTTTGAGAGCCACGGCACCATACGAATTGCGAGCACCTTTGAACGGGTCACCGCCCAAGGCACCGAGGCGACGGCTGTGCCGGGCAAAGTCTAGCCTGGTGGGAGAGGTGGGCCAGGGAAAGTGCGATCGAGCAGCCACGCATTGGGACGTGGATTGGTATTATCCAACCGCGACAAACGATGTCAGCAGCCTCTTCTCGTGTCATAGACAGTGTCTATGACACGAAAAGCTAGACAGACAACGTGGGCAGTGCCCAATCAAAAGCTACTAAACGATCCAGTTAAGAAGTTGGCGAGGTAGCCAGACCAAATAAAAAGTTTTTAATTCAATTTTGGTTGACAAATGACATACAAGCCCGCTGTGATGGACCACAAAAGGAGCTGAACAGTTCATAGGCAACTTCTAAAAAGCTCAACGGTTTAAAAATTCAAAAGTTAAATGTAAAAATTCAGCCTGCATGTTTAAACTCTGGTCCGGCGCTGGCAGGAAGCTTATATTGCCACTTGCAATTCCACTACGTTGTAATATTACCAATAGTTCTGTGAGAGCAGCAACTGAAAGCCCCGTTGAGGGGGGGGGGGGGGGGAGGGCGGCGCGAAATGCCCCCATCTCTCCTTTTCAGTCGATATCTCCTAAAGTATAGCAAATGTCGCCACCAAACTTTCAAGACCCCTCCGGGCATCATTTTTACACCTTGTGACAAATTTTTTCTAGAGCTCTTATGAAAGGTTAGTCACAAATGACGTCAGAAGGATGTCATGTTCTGTCATTTTTGACCCAATAAAAGGTTTAGCGGGAAGAGCTGTCACGCTTACAGTTTTGAAGATAACGAAAAATATTCAAAATCAAAAAGATGTAAAACAAACAGCGCTACCAAACTGCATAACTCTTATTTCCAAACCAAAATTGATTTTGACCATCAAAACTATAGAAGTAAACACCCCGAAAATACCAACAACTTTCAAAATTAAAACTGAAATATATGTTATAGAACTATCTGCTCTAGATATGCCAAACTTACCTAAACTCGTTAGCTCCTTTTTTAGCAAAGTTATGGCCAAAAAAAACTTCGAAATTTATTAAGTAAAACTTTTCAAATTCAATTTTTAGCCGTCACAGAACACACAGAGCAAGCCAAAGACCACCATTGGATTTCCTGTGATGAGCTGCATCGAATAGATACCCCTTTTATGCAACATATCAACTTTCAAATTCGACCTTCTTTGACCTGACCTTCACCAGGATGCAATCTAAAATGGCCCCAATGGCCGTCTAGCCCACACCATTGAATTATAAATGTAAAATTGGCCATAAAACATGTATCACACGACCCTAGCATAGTTGGGTTCATATTGTAACCCTGAGTGACCTGACCTCTGTGAACTGACCTGGCATCAATGACCTCTTTAGGCAACATATGTATTGGACAACCAGCGCTCCATCGATGTGTTTCGATTACATGCCTTTTATTTGATGTGTTAACTGACTGTAACGCATTCCTTAGACTAAATCGGTGTAAAAATGCGACCTTTGACCTGACTTGTGACGTCATGGGTTGCACCTAGGTCAACAAAACCTGGTAGCAAGCTAGTTCCCTGGTGGGGCTATCGAACGCTCTTTGAATGTTTAAAATCGGTCGGTTACTTTCCGAGATCTCAGGTGGAAGGCGAAACGGCTGCACCACCCGATCAGGTGGTAGGGTCCGCCAATAGCCCAAGTGGCGCGGATTATTTATTCACTCATATAGTGTCATTTATTTTGAGAACACCTTTCTCACGCCATGACATGGTCCTCTCGTAATAGAACGAGATG